TAGTAGTAGTAGTAGTAGTAGTAGTAGTAGTAGTAGTAGTAGTAGTAGTAGTAGTAGTAGTAGTAGTAGTAGTAGTACTAATAATAATAATAACAATAATAACAACAATGACAATAACAATAATAACTATAACAATAATAATAATAATAATAATAACAATAATAATAATAATAATAATAGTGGTACTAATAATAATAATAATAAAGAAATAGAAGAAGAAGAAGAAGATGAGAACTTTGAGATGGAATATTAATGTAACGATTAAACAATGATAATAACAAATGTCAAGGTTAGAGGTTCCACTAATGGTATATCAAACAAGTATAGTATAAACTCTTATTATTGAATTGGAAACCACACACAAAGGAGGTTCCAATCAGATTATATATTGTTAACATGATTACATTAGTCATCTTATTCGATTAATGCTAATACTTGTAAATCTCGTCAAGCATTCATGATTATAACTTATGTTAACAACAAATCAAGTTCCTTTCATAGCTCAGGTGTCGGTTATACCATACATTATGGGCTATGAAAGTGCCAAGCATTTGTTGTACCAAGTGTTATACAACATAAATCAAGATTAGTCATTTAACAAGCAAAGTATTAAAGAGTGAACAAGATAACAAATACAAAACATGTTAGTATCAAACATTAAAATCCATATTAAGCTTACACTATACTTATTCTTACACCATTAGTGTAACCTTTTCACCTTGACATAATAAACTTCGCTAGACATAATGAAAGAAAGAAAAATAAATAAACAAAATATGAACATAAATAAGATAAAAGTTAACTAAGTAAATGAAAGAAAATGAAAGGCATAAACTTGATATTAATAAAAGCAAAGCATAAACATTACAAAAAATACAAAGAGAGAAAGCAAAAGCATGAACTTGATCTGGAGACCAAGATGCCTAAATGCATGGCAAATGCCTCCTTTTATAGGCCAAAAGTAGAAACTATTGATTTGATGACTAATTAATGTGTGGGTGACCAACTCTTGACTTGGTGACAATCCTTATCTTCTCTTGTCTGCCCAAAACATCATTGATAACGTCAAAATTAGAGCCACTTGAAAACATGAAAGTTATAGAAAATTGTCTTAGCTTTCTTGTGTAAACAATTCAGCTCATTTTGACTTCTAGAACTCCCAATATGGCCAAAATACTGAATAGTGCTTAGGTTGGAGGACAGATTCAGGCTTCTTTGTTGTTGCAACAATTTGGACTTGAAAATGGTCTTTTTAGATCTTAGGCTCCATATGAATGTTGTAGGCCTATGTCTTACCTTTCCATCCATATGTAGGCCTATGTCTTACCTTTCCATCCATATAAAGTAGACCTAAATCTGAGATCAATAGCTCCAGATATGACCCAATTACAGAATAGTGTTCCGGTTTGGATTGCACCGACATCTCTTTTCTAAGTTTGGCCATCTCTTTGTCCTTTCAATTTCAGTTCTTAAATTAATCAATCAATCCTTTTATTTATGTGATAGGCCTGCATTTAAAATGAACATTTACCACAAATTAAAGGTATCTTATATTATTAGATATATTATTATAAAACATGCTTTAGTTAAGAAGTTATTGATACTTCAAATGCAAAATAATGATATAATGCCTTGATAAAAATACACTTTTAAGTATCAATCACTTATATTATTAGATACGTTATTATAAAACATGCTTTAGTTGAGTTATTGATACTTCAAGTGCAAAATGATGATATAAAACCTTGATAAAAATGCACTTTTGAGTACTAATCATTTACAAAACTCTAAAATTGATTTATCTAAAAAAAATCAAAAGAAAAATCTAAATATATTATAAAATTAAATATCCAAAAAAAATTTCTATTAAAGATTTATTTTTCATCTTAGTCCTTCAAAAGCAGCTTTAACATTTTCATAAGGCTATACTTTTAAATCGTGAGATTTTACATGACCCCAGTCTTATTATATACCAATCTTTGAAATATCATATTTAAACACTTTAAACTGTAGCAAAATCATCTTCTACCTGTCTATTCTACATGTATTATCTAAGAAATCCTTCACTCTTATGATTAAAAACAAGTTATTCATAAAGAAATTTCTTTTCCAATCAGTTTCCAAGCCAAACTATATAACTATTAGCGCTCCTACTACACCTATTAGGATTACCAATAGGCATGATTTAATATTTTCCTTGTCCAAACTCAAAAGGTAGTCATTCTTTGTTATTCTATTTTAACAACTCCGTAAACACTTTAAAATTACCAAATTAGTTTCACCAATAATGAGACTATTTTGATTCTTTATATGACCTTCTTCAACTTCATCTTATGGTTGAAAATGGTTACACCTTCTTCAAACAAAATTACAAAGCCAAAAAATATGAAAAAAAAAAATATTTCGAACACTTCTCCTTTTTTGTTCAAATTCTTTGTTTCTTAGGTTTGCTCATGATACTTTGATTACAATATTTAACATGAATTCCCCATCCTCATCAAAACATTCAAAGTCAAATGGTAGGCCACTTTTATAGTAGAATTCAAGAGCTCCAAACCTACATTTATAATGGTTAAAAGAAAATAAAAAAGCCAAGATTAAGGACTTAAATCATCAATCTAAGTTCTTAGCCAAAAAGTCTCATGCTTTAGCAAAATCCAAATAAGAGTATTTTAAAAATCATAAAGTAGCTTTCACAAAGTGACTCTAAATCAAATGATTGTGTTTTCTCTTCATCTTTAGAATCCATTATCAGCTTAGAAGATAAAAATAAAGATAATTATTTTAGTATTCTTCCTCTTATATAAAAACTCTAGGTATTTTTATCTATGTACATATATGTGTGTAAAAAAGAAAAGAAAAGAGTTTTTAGAGGTTAAAAATATTCATGGCCTATTTTTAGTTTTGTTTTCTTTTTATCAAGCTTGTCTTCTTTATGGCAAATACATTTAGACCCATCTTCTCCTAGCCTTTCACACTCCTAGTCCAAATATTTATGTCCACATAAGAAGACAAGTTTTCCTTCACTTGCAAATACAACAAAAAAAACTTTTATTGGTGGAAGACAAGGCAAACAATTATATCAAATAGCTTTTAAAAAGTTTAATAATTACAAAACTTTGTAAAATTTCAAATTTATCATCATTTTCCCTTATAAATAGATGGCTCTCTCTTTATTCTTTATTCTAGGACAAACAAATTTCTTTAGACAACTCTTTTGCATAAAAAATCTATATCTTTAAAGAAAAAACTCTATTTTGTATTACTTATATCCAAATTCATATCTTATGTATTTACCTCAATACAAATTCAAGTAAAATTATTCAAAGTTCAAGCTTTTTTTTTTTTCTAGTTATATATTTTATATTCATGTATTTATAAATATGCTCTGTATTTGTTAAAGAATATTATCATTTAGACTTTTTTTTATCATAAATATATAAATCTATTTGTTATTTATTTATTTGGCCAGTATACTAGTATTTTTTGGAGCACTAAGCAAGTTGCATGATAAAACCTATAGTGAATCCTTGTAATCTTGTGTGTGTGCCCTCAGTAGATTTTAGATTATTTACTTATTTATCTCATAACACATGCAAGGAGCTAGCTAGGAATAGCATCCAGCAAATTCCAAAGAGACCCTGAAAATCAGGAGGCAGTAGGTCTGCCTTAGAGCTAACTATCTACCACAAAAACGGACATATTACAGCCCAAGTGAGAGACAGGGATGGCCTTCAAAACTATGACAAGTTCAGACAAGTCCTTTTCCAGTTGATTTGTCGAGGAGACAAGCTGGTGGATCTGCTTTGTTATCTTCCTATACATAGGGGTCCCTTAACCCCTTCTCATCTGGTCCTACTCAGGGGGGCGACACTCACTACACGCTGCCCATTGTCTCTCCTACACAAATCTTCACAACCTTTGTCTATACAAGGCCTTGCTTCTCAAAGCTAATTTCCATGTAGCACAAACACAACTTGACAATTACACTCATAAACACGCATATATTACAAGAATATTATGGCAGGAAACTTTGCCATAATGAGATTGCCTCAAGAAAGGTTCGAGAGCGGAGAACACGTTTGGATATCATATGCAGGTGTACAGTGATTCTCCTACGCCGGGATGAGTTAATAGTTTTTATAGTGAATACTGGTCCAGCTAGATAGATCTAAATCTTGCGAACATGGTTTGATCGTTTTGTTTTGTGGAAAAGGTCGAATTAATGGTCAGCAAAGGAGAAGATCATGTGTAATTAGTAGCTAGCTTCTTATTCTTTTTTGTTGAGTTTTTTGTAAAGATTTCCATTGTGAGCTTGCTTCTTTTTCTTTTCTTTTTGTTTTCTTTTCCATAATTTCATGACCCCTAATGCATGAAAAAGCTTCCCCTCAAAGTAGGATTTGAAGAATCACGTAAACAAACTGTATATTAAAAAAAAACAGAAAAAGAAAACAATGAATAAACAATACATTCAATTAATTAATAACAGTCTAACAATTTTCTACTATAGTGGTCTTATGGCATAATTGGGCTTCACAATTGTACAAGGTTCGGTGCTATTTTCTATGCTAATAGATTTCTTGTCTTGTAAAAAAAAGAGTGATGAAATTTTTTTTCTGACCAATACAGGTTTCAGAGAGACTGCAAGAATAAAATTTATAGACAATTCCCAACAAGAAACATTTAAATTTGTTTTTTCTAACCAATAAGAATTTCAATGACAACAGAGAAATTTTTGTGGAAGAAAACAGTATGCTGAGTAATAGTCACAGCACAAACAACTCGGTCTCAGAGAAAACTAAAACCAAAAAAATATAAAGCACATCGAAATCACAACACTGTGGTACAAGCCTACAATTTATTCATATGATCTCGGATTAATTGTCATGTAAATATATAAACAAAACTTGTTTTCGCTATACTAGAGGCATACGCTTCATGGAATAACGAGGCAGACAAAAAAAAAATATCTTTTCAAGATTTTTTCCAAAAGTACATGTTTGTATGAGAACTATTTATCTCTTGTTTCCAAGAAAAGGCTCACCGGCAGTCCCTTGTAACCTTGTGGCACTTGAATCATTCTCCGATTTCTTCAGTGTTTGCCCCGGCTTACTTTGGTGGCCTCCCTGGGAATTATAAAAAGAGACAAATCACTCTACCATCACGTGAAGAATTCATTTGGGTATTGAAAGAAATGAAGACATCTCAAGGCAATGCAACAAGAGTAAAACCAATTACTTAGATCTGCGGAATTGGGTGTATTTGTTGGATATAAATTTCAGAATGACGAACCACTATTGATTTTGCAAACGTTAACATGTGTAGCAGTTTTCAGGTTGTTGTACTACAATCACTGAACATGTGGACTAGGGGCTTTTTTATCCAGGAATTCATGGCTGTTTGGGATTATAGATGAAGCATACAATAGAATTCAGTACAAAAAGAAAATGCCCAAGACATGATTTTCACTTACAGCTCCCTTATTGGCTGTTAACCTTCGACTTGATGGTGCCCGCGCCACTGATGAAGCAGCTGCAGCTGCAGCCACACGGATTCTGCAGAGACATTTAGAAAAGAAACTGTCAACTTTTTGGCCATCTTTGGGCACCAAAACTAAATTTCTAGCTGGATCAACTCCAAAATACCTTTTATGAACATCTACGTATTCATCTGTTTCATCCACAATCTCCTCCTGCATTGTTAAGACTACTATTAGCATACTTGGCAATGATTACTTAGATTCTAGAACTGGAAGGAAAAAAGATAACAAAGGTCTCTGATTTACCTGCAGAAGTTCTTCAAATACATCTTCTAGGGTGATGATACCAATTACTTCACCATCTTCAATGTCCTCTGATAGCAGGGTCATTCCTTTAATTGCGTCATTATGCTGTAAAGAAGGCTGCCTACTTGGCCTTGAAACCCTATCCATATCCACAACAACGCTATCTAACTTTACATTTGGCATGGACAACAATGGACTGGTCAATTGAGACTCTTTGCCAGTTTCTTTGTTTCCTTCATGTTCTTCCCCATCAATTGTTGGTGGAAGAGCCTTGCTTTTCCCCTTGGCCTTCACAACAGCTGCCATATGACTGCTACCCTTTTGAAACTCATTCAGTATATCATACAGAGGCATATCAGATGGAACCCTGGAGAAGTTTCCACGCAGGGGCGGAGCTAAGTTAATTTTACAGGGGAGGCCAAAATTAATATGTATATATATATATTATTAAAAAACTTATTTATTTAAATTAAAAATATTAAATAATAGAAAATTTTAAAAACATTTGCAGGGGCCCGGGCCCCTGCTTGCCACCCCCTGGTTCCGCCGCTGTTTCCACGGACAAATACTTAGCACATATTTTGAACTTGTTTGTGAAGGAAACCAGAAAAATATAGAGAAAAAAAAAATGAACACCGTGGAATTCTTCGGATTGAAACTGCACTAACTGGGGTCTCTGTTTCAGGTCGAACAGTGAGAAGGCTTTTCACCTAATTCCAACAAAAATAAAAACAGCCACATGCAAATCAGTTAACTAGAAAACCAGAGCAGCACATATAATAGGAGAAACCTATCAATATGACTTTATATATTACACCATCTCTCAACCATATTCTTCCATCAAGAAATCAATCAAGTGTTGTGCATGTGACCATTGATTTTACCAAAAATGTTTGAGGGGTGTACTAGAGAATAAGAACAGACTAACAGTGACAATGCATTTATTTTTTTATGGAAGGGTACAATTGATAAATGATATAATGTATAAGGTGATATTAATAGGTTTCCACAATATAATATAACACTTAAATTTGAAAAAAATCTATAAAATAGAAAACCCACCAAAAGAAGTCCAATGATATTTTTTGGATTCCCAGAATATACAGGAACTCTGCTATGACCGCGTGCAAGAACTTTTCCCATTGCCTCCCTAAGTTACAAGTATTATTAAATAAATATATAAACACAAGTTTATGCAATTGTTTAAGTGAAACATAAGAAAGTGAAAATGCCATGGCAATAGGAATAATTCAGGAACAACTGAGCAGAACTTACCAATCCAACTTTGAATTGACATCTAGGGAGAAAGTTGATTCAATAGGTGTCATAGCCTCTTCAGCAGTCTGTTGAAGTTTATAAATGAAACATAAAACATTACTTTAAGATGCAAGCTGAAAGAGAATCTGAGATATTTAACTTGGGCATTGAATGATAATGAAATAAGACACTTTGTGAATTTATTGGCCAATCTGCACAATAATTGTCTACTTCATTTGGAATAGGACCCCTTCTTCTATGTTTGGTACAAACAATCATTAAATATCACATGTTTCTTTAGTTAACCTTAAAACTTAAGTTGATAAACTTAAGAAAAATAAAGCAACAACCAAACACGTACTCAAAATTATTAATCATAAAATGATATAAATTTGAAAATCCCATTTTCTGTCATGGAAGCACACTAAAGCACCAACATGACTCCAAATATTTGAAAACCCCAATAGAACAAAAAAAAAAAAAAAAAACAAACCTTTTTTTACTGGCATCTTATTATCTCTCTCGTGTTTCATTCATGAGCTATCAAATTTGGTTCTTGGTGTAACTTCTTACATGTCCAATTGTTTGTGTATGTAAATATAGGTATTTTGGTTTGTTTCAGATCTGAGTTTGGCTTTTAAAAAGGGTAACAAATGAGATAAATGGGTATTGAGTATAATTATATTCTCTATGGTGTGGGCTAAAATGCAAGGGAAGAAGAACTATAGATGTGACAATGAAACTAATAGATTTTTGCTCGACATAACAACAATTTAGCTAGCTGGGGGTACAAGTTCGATTTTCACATGTCATTTGACAAACAAATATTATAGATGGAATTGATGAAGAGTGTAAGAGTGTCAATCCAAACATCACATAATTCAAGCATTAGAATAAAAAAAAAAAAAAAAAGTGAGGGTGTGTCAGTCAAAACAGGCAATGGCTGGGAGAGGAGGGGGGCTTCACTGAATTTACTTGACTTCTGGAAATGATCAAAATTCCAGCTTAGATGTGAAATTCAAATCAACTTAAATAGAGAAGCTCTCAATGCTTTTCAAGAAGTGCAAGCAAAAAGCAAAATACAAATGATTACTGAAGACTCCAACCCACCACACCACACCCCCCCCCTCCCCCAATCGAAGCATCAAATTTCAGATGAAGTGATTGCATTTGCCTAACTAGTACATGTTCACGCATCTGAATTTGTGAGAATGCAACAAGAAGGAAAAAAAAAGTTATGTACCATCCATGATGGTTGTTGCAAAACAAAATGACCAATATCAAAATTTTACAGTGAAGAATGGCAAAGAAAAGGAAAAAATAGAAGCCAATTTCAGATGTTGCATACCTTTTCGGTCAAATCTAGTGCCCCACTAATAATTGTCGTCTCATCATGTGTGAGTTCACCACCCTTGCCAGCCTAGATGTATCAAGAAAAAGATGTTACATTGCAAAGGAGAAAAGGAAAAGGAAACAAGGATATACTAATACTTTCATAGATTAGGTTGATTAAATTGTTATCTATATGTATTTTACATTTTAATTTACCTCCAAGCCGTGGATGGAAACAAGGGCTTTCAATTGTGCCCGTCTAAATAATGCTTCATTATGTCCTAATGCACAATCCAGAACCTGTAGAATGACATTTCTTACAGTCAGAGAGTACATAAAACGAATGTTTGAGGGTAGACCAAATTATCAAGCAAGCAATAGGTTGCAGAAAAAAACAAATGTGGTTTTTTCTTTTTATTTTGAAAGCCAGAAAAGACTAAATTTAACAGAAGGTTCATTGTTCAAGTCAGGTAGGAACAAGTAATGAAGGTACAATTTTTTTTCCTTCTACAATGGGAGAGGAAAACACATCTTTAAAGCTGAAGAACATGGAAGAAAAGTACAGCCATTCACAACTCTCTATCCTTATTCTATGATAGCTGTAGCAAACCACAAAATCACTAATTAATCTAGCTCCACAATCATCATGTTTCTAAAGCCAAGACCATACACGTGAACAGTGAACCATTAAGTGAAAGAAAGATGTAAAAGACCACAAATAAGAGCAAGAGCTAGTATTTACTTGACTCCAGAGGACAACCTTATCCTGTTACTTGCTAAGAGAAAACTTCAATCCCACTTAGCTCTTTCAAAGCCATGAGCTGTGCAAGATACATGCTTTTATACTGATAAATAATTTTTTTTCCCAATAAGATGAATTCATAAAAAGGAAGCTAGAAAACCTAATCATCAATGGATAAAAATAAAATCATAGGTAAAACCTCGGGCTTGTTTTTACTACTTTTCATTTTAAAAGGGTATTAGAAATTATCAAACAACTACCAATCCCACTTTACGGAAAACTTTGGGTGTAGTCAATTTCCGCTGTGTTACTTACCTTCCCGATGGGATATGAAATTGGATAACAAATTATCATTAAAATTCGCACAAGCCATACGAAATTGGCCCCAACAGCTAATCCATATCTGGTGCATATTGATTGTGGAATAACCTGAAAATAAAAAACGTCCACCTCACTTAAGCCTAAAAAATTACTATATTTAATATTTTAAGAATAGTTAACAAAAAGTTGCTTAAGATGAACATAAGTAGACAAAAAAATGTACCTCTCCAAAAGCTAGAACAAAAGTCACGGAAAGTATTATAGCAACATATTGATTGAAAAGCTTATCCAAGTATATAGGAAGAGCCTGCAAATTAAATCACAATATCCAACTGCTGTCAACAATAGCTAATTAAAAGTTAAAAAGTTCAAGCATAATACGAATATTCTAGGGCGATGAATTGCGTATTATCTGCAAATTCACTAAGCAACCTCACTTTCGAAACGAAAGCTAATCCGGGCACTCACATTTTTGCAGTATACTTTCCAAAATCTCAAAATAGCATCCCTACCTAATAGTGGATAATCTATATAGATAATCTCAACAAATAATGTTAGAGTTAGTGGAATTTTCTTCTAATTGCTTGTAAATGCTACATCTCCTTGATTTTTTTCAACATAAATTCCAAAGAAGATTACCTCCATGGAAGCAGCATTGCAAAGAAGCAGAGTCACCAGAAGCTGGTGCTGTTTCTGAACCACCGGAAGAATCGCAGCTAATAAAATTAAAATTAAAATTAAAATCAGAGAAATTCAATTGAAATTGAAAATTAATTAAGAAAGTACGAACCAGCTTGTTTTTTCTCGGTGGAAGTGCCGCTACGTTGGAGAATTTCGAGGTCGACAAGACCAAGAGACATGAGGCCTAAGGTAAGCCCAGACATGATCCCCGCGAAGAGAACGAGGAAGCAAGAAATTCCTGCGTACGCAAACCACGAGAACGATCCAAACGGTATTTCGTCTCCGTTTGATTGACCTACTAACTCCGTCAACATCCTCGTCGCCATCACCGCATTTAACAGCTGCATCTTTATAATTCAAAATTTATTGATAAATATTATAATTTGATGATTAATTTGATTTTGGATGTCTTTGTAAGTTTTCTTTCTTGTTGTTTCTCTGTGAGATCCAGAAAAAGTCCAGGGAGAGAGAATAAAAAACAAGAAGAAGAAGAACATACAGCACATAGCAGGGCAGGTGGCCGGGATACTGGATATATAGAGTAAATTGTAAATGAATCCCTCTATTATTTAGAAACGAATTTATTAATCCCTCGCTTTTCAAGATTAATTATTTATTTCTTTTCATCCATTTATATTCTTTTCCAATTTATTTATCTAAGAAAAATACGTGGATAATATGGAAATATTTATGAGAATAGAAAGCATTTTTTTTAAATAAATCAATATTAAATTAATCATGGTTGATAATTATGAATTAGATAGTCCCCCTTTTCAAAACTAATTGTTTAATCTCTTAACTACTATTAACATGCTTGATTTAATATTCATTTATTTTTAAAAATGCCTTCTATTCTTATAAATATTTGTATATTATCAATTTATTTTTCTTTAATAAATAAATCGCAAAAGAACACAAATGGATGTAATGGACTAAATAATTGGTTTTGAAACCAAAGGATTAATAAATTCATTTCTCAAAACTAGATGTACGAATTTATAATTTACTTCTGGAATATTAGCCTTGTCTATAGCACGTGGCGGGATCACGAGGGTTCTTGCTGGGTCAAATGAATTAAATGCTTTTGAAATACGAACGGTGATCTGTGTTTGTGGCTATTTTTCTGACACGTAAACGAGGCAGGGGAATATTGGTGATGAACGAATGCTGGGTAAAATTGTTAAAATTTCAGGAGTGTTTGGTAGAGTATTGTTGTTTTTTAAGTATTTTTTATTTTAAAATATATTAAAATATTATTTTTTATTTTTTAAAATTATTTTTATTATTAATATATTAAAATAACTAAAAAATAATAACAAATATTATTTTAACAAAAAAATAAATAAAAATTCGGGCTCGATTCTCATATCTTTTCATTACCATATAAGATAAAAAAAAGAATAGCAATAAAACAATATAAACCAAAGATTTATTATACTATGAATTATGATATTTTTATCCTCCATCATATAAAGCACAATTTAGAGGTAAAATAATTTTTTTTATAGAATTTAATTTTAATATTTTTAAATTAAATGATAATATATATATATGGGTGATTAATTTTACATTGTATAATTAGGCTTAAAATTTATTTTCTTGAACATGGATCCAAAGGTGTTTTACTCCTTTCATTATAACATTTTTGTATTTATCAAATGGAAAATATTAACTATTTTAACATACATAAAATATATTTTAAAAGAAAATATAGTTGATGCTTACAATATGAACTAGGGGGTAAAGCTCACTTTTTTTGAGTGATAAGTGGAGACTCTTCTGATGGTCAAACACTATCTTTCATTATAGCGTTAAGAATGACACATCGAGATCTAACTAATGGCAGGGCTTGTGTTGGTATTAGATTGTTGATGTGGTTTCGGTGAACTTTTATTTCTCTTTCTTTTCTCTCTTTTTTACTCAATAAAACACAAAAGTTTTCTTTTACTTTTTTATACAATTTTGTCATCATTTTTTTTATTGCTACTTATTTTTTATATATTTTTTAGTTTTTTTCTTCAATTTAATCCCTCGTCATTTCATTTAATTTTTATATCAACTTGGGTCTTTATTACTTTTAATTGTTATTTATTTATTTATTATCCTTTTTTCTAATTAAATCTTGTTTTTAATTTCATCATTCAAGATTTAATTTGATTTTAATTTATTTTTTGGTCAAATGTAGTCTCCTTTCTTTTCATCACTATTTGTTTTTTTATCCTTTTTCATTGTTGTTTTTTTTTTAATTTCATCCCTTATTATTTTGTGATTGAAAATTATACTTCATTATTTTTTAGGGTTTATCTTTTATGGGGTTAGTTTTAGGCTTATGACTAGGGTCATAAATTTTGAATATTAACCATGTGAGAACACTTAGAGACCACATGAATCTTACAAGAATAAGTGTATCATCATGCATAATTTCCCTCCTGATGCATCTCATTTTAATTTTAAGTTAGGTATTATTTAACTTTTACCTTCTTTTCATGGCTTAGATTTAGAAAATACATACTTGCATTTAAAAAAATTTGAGGAGGTTTGTAACACCTATAATGACTCAAATTGTAGTATGAACACCATCAGATTAAAGCTTTTTTATTTTTTATTAAAAGATAAAGTTAAAACATGGCTATAAAATTTAAGACTAGGATCTATTCGTGCTTGGGATAGAATGCAAGAACAGTTTTTAAAGAAGTTTTATCTTTCTCATAAAAAAACTCTTTCAAAAGACAAATCACCACTTTCATTCAAAAATCAGGAGAAATATTTTACCAATATTAGGATAGGTATCGAAACTTGCTTAATACTTACCCTTATCATGGTTTTGAATCAAGGAGATTGGTTTCATATTTTTATGAAGGGTTAAGACCTACAAAGGCAAATGGTGGAATTGATATGCAATAGAACTTTTGAAGATAAATACCCTGATGAAATAATGGAGTGCTTAGACTTATTAGCTAAAAATGATCAAAATTGGAATACCGCAGGTACTTGTAAGGTACTGAGTAAAACTCAATCTCATACATCTAGTGGAAGTATGTACAACCTTAGGGAAGATCATGACCTACAAGCCAAGTTTGTATCTTTAACTAGAAAAATTGAGGCACTAGAATTAAAAAAGAGTGGTCAATTAAAATTTATTCAAGACATTGTGTGTCAAGTTTGTGAACAAATGAACACTCAACCAATGACTATCTGACTTTATCTTCTTTCAAGGAATGTCTTCATGAACAAGCTCATGCTTTAAACTTTAAAAAGGCCCAATCATAACTCATTGCTTGACCGCTTTTTATGATTGGCTTGTATTAACTCACAAGTACACGAGTGCGCGATGTAGCAATTAACTCAAAAAGATCGAGGTCATATCCACAAAGAGCTAGATTTGAAAATTAAACTAGATAACAAAAAAAACTCAAGAGAAATTAAATTAACAATGACTTGATTGAAAATAATTGATGGATTTGTTTTCAAAGATGAAAACAGGTAAATAGATTTTAAATGACAAGAAAAAGTAAGTCTTGGTCCAAATCAATTTTAATGGTGATATATTAGTGATTCAAATCAATTTTAATGGTGATGTATTGGTGATTTCTTCAACATATATAAGATAACTCAACCTAATCTCAACGATGGTGATATTAGATCTGAAGATATTACAATGAAGATTAGAAAGATGAAGATTGATTATTGCTTAAGAATGAACAAGTACTTTCATATTAAGTAAGATATTGAATCAAGCAATCTCTATACCAAAACTAAAGTTTGTGCATAAAAATTCAAGATTATAACATTATCTAAATGATTTCTAAAATTTCCTTTCAATAATAAAACATTCATAAAGAAAATAAGAAGATAAACATTAAGATTCATTCGTATCTTGAAGAACTCACCTCAACCATCATTATCCTTGATTTGGATCCAAGAAAGAGATTAGCCAACCATGATTATGTATAAGAACACTTTAATGAATATGAAATAACTTGAATCAAACTGAAACAATAAGTTTTACAAACTAAAGAAATGAAATCTACAAAGAAGAACACAACACAATTTCAGTAAAAATTCAGACACAAATATGATGCTAACTTTGGACAACAATTTAGACTCTCCTAGAAGCCTTTTTTTGGAGATGTCTATTAGAGACATATTTATAAGCAATTCTATCACCTTTTTAGATCATTAAAGAACAACTCATTTGGACACCTACTTCAAAATTTATGGGCAAAAAACTGAAAGGTGTCCTGAAAAATCAAATTAGGCCAGCTTTGCAACCACTTTGGTCCACGTTTTTCTTCCTCATTTATGAGCTGTCTGTTTCTTTTTTTTTTGTTGACCCAAAATAATGTAATAATATCCCCTTCAGCTTTCCATCCATGTGCTTGCCTTCTTGGATCAATGAATTACCCAAAATAAATCAATTGTTATTTGTTGTGTAGACATGTAAGATCATATGATAATCTTTTATAGAATTGGAATAGAATTGATTTTTTAGGGAAAATTTGGAGCACTTATTTAAACTAAGATTTGCTTCAAACTTCAACTAAATTTCTCTTCAATTCTTTGTTCTGAATTCCGACATTAAATTTTCCGACATAATCCTTTTAAGCTTTAAAAACCTAGCAAAACATTAAAAGAAAATTCATTACTAAAAAACATATCAATTATTATAAAAACTCAAATAAAAACAATAAATACATATGTAAAATAAGAGATTTAATGATACTTTTGATTCACAATCACCCATATTCACAAATATATAATGCTAGTTGGAGAAATCACCCAAATTTCAATTGGAAAAGTGATACACAAACTTCATAGCCACCATTTTAAGCACACTATAATTTCAAAAATTACCATGGATATGCATGTCCTTATGTTCCCCCTCCTATAAGATATCTTGAGGAAATTTTGTATGAATTCATTGAAAAGTAAGAGACAATCAATACTCAACTTGCTCAAAGCATAAGAGCTTTTAAAGATACTCTTGCAAAATTAACATATGCTCTTAGTTTCCAAGAAAAAGGTAAGTTTCTATCTTAACCACAATAAAATCCCAAAGGGCAATATAATGAAAATGCAAGTAGTTCCGGAAGCCAACACATGGATCAAGTCAAATCAGTCACTACTTTTTATAGTGGTAAGGTTATCGAAAAACCCACTCTTGAACCTTATGAGAAAGAAGATGAGTCAATCTCTGAGGGTAAAGAAGGGGTTGAATCTGAAAATTATAAAGAAAAGACTCATTTCCTGCCAGCACTTCCATTTCCTCATATTATGACCAAACAAAGGAAAGTCAATCACAACTCTGAAATCTTTAAAACTTTCAAACAAGTAAGGATCAATATACATTTGCTAGATGCTAAATAGGTTCCTTCTTATGCTAAATTTTTGAAAGTTCTGTGCATTGTGAAGAGAAAATTGAATGTGAAAAAAAAAGCCTTTTAGCTGAATAAGTGTCATTCTTTAAAACAATAATGCTTTGAA